TCTCTCTCTCTCTCTCTCACTCACTCTCTCTCATTCACTTTCTCACTCTGTCTGTCACTCTTTCTCTCCCTCAGGGCAAGAGAAGAGAAGGCAGTGACCAGGCTGTGTTTTATCACTCTTTTATCTCTGGCTGCGCAGCAGGATGCACCGCTTCCTTCATGGTCAACCCTTTTGACGGTCAGTGCTTTTAGAAAACAGAAAGATTGAAGGAGCTAAATGATAGTTATGTGCATTTGTATAGGTTTGACTCCACTTCACATTGATTTTACTTAAAAGCCTCTTAACTTAGACAGCCCCGTAACTCATCACTCTTACCACACAGAGATCCCGCCGGAGAGTTATGCTTAAGTAATTTCAGTTTCATTCCTTTTATTGTGACTGAAGAAAAATACGAGACAGATCTGGTAGAAGTAGACCAAGAATAAACTACAAAGAGAACTTGAAGAAACGGGTGACAGGAAAAGACATGGATAAATGTATGTGAGGCATCGTGGTGAAATAGGGCTCTCCTCAGAATACTGAAAAACAGCCCTGCTCGCAGAAACATTTAAATTAGTCCCTATCTAATGGGGACTTCTCTGTGGTCAGTGTAAATAATCAAGGAAACTTTTGAAGTAGATGTATTGTCGTGTATAGGCTAAGAGACTTTATGTTTAAGTGGGAAAAAGAGGCCATCATTTTAAAGATTAATAGTACTGTGGGTTGAAGTCCCTTCAAGTACTCATTGAAGACAGGTACATTGCCTGAAAAGTCCAATGTAAATTTTTTGGTGTGTGGAAGCTTCTGGTATAACATTTTTATTTTTTTCTCTCAAGTGCTTCAGCCTCTTGCAGGTTCAATAATTTCTGAATGTTGAAAATTTTTTGCCTTGTGCCATTTCAGTTGTGAAGACGAGGCTTCAAACTTTGAGTAAAGGAAAGGGAGAACTGCATTATTCAGGTGTCATTGATTGCTTCAGGTGAGTAATTTGTGGTTCCTAGGATGTTTGATCAAGAGAGTTTAAAGTTTAAAGTGACAGAGAGGTGGCACTCGTGACGTCCCTCCTTGACAACAGTGCATTGTTTCGCATATCGCCCAGCGCGGAATGCAAAAACCAACAAGCGCGGTTACCGCTGCCATGGCGGTGATGTCATGTCATGAAAACAATGTAGTGCAGTCTGTTGTTGGTTCTCTAGGTTACTAGACCTTCAACAAAGAAGGGAGTCTGTGAATTCTATCACATATTTTGGGCTACTCCCCTGCCTCCTGTAAGAGTTGTTTTTTAATTAAGTTACCATTCGTTCTAATTAACAAATAGACGCAGATACAGTACTGAATCTCTATAGACCTGAATAAATGTCACCGTAATTAAAGGCCTAATAAGTTTGTTTCAGCAAAACTACTCATTCTTCAAAACCTCTCTGTTATGCATTGCTTTGCACAATGTCTGGAGGAGGGTAATTGGAAGAGCTTCTGCAGGAGGGAATATGCTTTGCATGATGCATGATAGAGCACCAGCGCCAAACTTTTGTCAGAATTTTTCCACCTGCAACCTTTAACACAGGCCTAGGATAACCTCACTTGTGACGTGACTAATTTCAGAGCTGCTGGAGACAAGAACTTGGACAGTGTATTGCGCATTGTTTCCAAAGAACATTCATTATCTGTTCTCTTCCTGGGGTCCTGTGGAGCTAGGTCCTGCTTGCTGCTATCCAGTTTCTTTTTTTAACATGTCATTATTTTTTACTGTCTTGCCCTCGATCTTTGCTGCAAACACAACCATTTTTTCTGTTGCAGAAGATTCCCGCTCAGAGTCGTTATCCACGATTAGAACGGGAAGCTGTCTCTCTCTAGGAGGGGGTCTTTTTGGGGTCACATTAGTGGGAGGATTTGGAATGTTGAATATAGTTGGACCGGCGGTCGTTTTAAGCCTCTCCCAGACACCGAGAGTAGTGGAAGATGTGGCTGTAAAGCATGATATCTCAAAGTGTTCCTCACACAAATTATTTCCTTTGTTTAGTGCTTCAGTTGGCTTTCCGTCCAAATCAGCGTGTCTGCAATTTTCCCTTGATAAAAAGGGATTATATACATGATTGATAGGCCTTGTGCACTGATTGTGGACAGATTTTATTTTGGTAAAAGTACAAATTTGTGTTAGGAAAACGGGTGCCTTTCAAAAATGATTCGCTACCAAGGGTCGTTTGGGGGAATTCACAAGGCTCCCTGCTTTTGTCCTCCCTCTATCGTTACAGAATTATACATTAAATAAATACCAAAACAAAGAAACATTCTCCAAAACATATAAAGAGTTTGCTGTAAAATACTCTGTTTCAGATCATTGAAAAGCACATGAAGTAATAATGATGGGTCTACCTCATAAGGAGTTTCTTGGATCCCTGACACCCCAACCCACTCAAAATTACTGCAAAGAAAAAAAAATGAAACAAAATGTGATAATCGGAACAAGAAAGTACCAAACCGACCGATGGCACCTTGTGTTTAAATAACTTTTCACAGGCAACATATCTTTTACCACTAGAATGCAAGCCAGATCTGGCCATTTAGACCAAAATTATGGCAATTGATAGCCTAAAGATTGATATAACGAAGTCGAAGTGTGTTGAGTTTGTGCCTGGAGTGTCAGTCTCGTAGGAACACAATCACATTGTCATTGTTTTGCTCCAGTTTTTTTTCTATTCATCAAAATATATTCTAATTAACACTTTCCACCCATGCAGTGTGCGGAGCACGCAACACTTATCTCCACGGACCACAATACAGATGCGGTACATGCTATATCACACCGTTGCCGATCGGTGTCCCGTGGGGGCAAAGTGTTAAGTAGGCATCTTACCTTTCATCATCCTTTTGGATTCGAAAGAAGCTCAAATTTAGACTTTTCTTTCTGGAATTGGTGCAATTTACAGCAGAATACCGTTGATACTTCAAGCTAACAGGAGCTAACTGCCTTGAACATGTGACATAGTTTGTATTGTTTACCGCGCTTATTGCAACAATAACCGGTTACCCAGTTACGCGCATTCATACGAAGTGACAGCTCTCTTGTAATATGGTAATACTCTCTGGTTCTGACACAAAGGCCTTGAACCTCGTTTAGATAACTTGAACATCTTGCTCTCTCTCTGTGGTAAAGTAGAAGGCTATAAAGACAGGGGTAGAAAGGAAGAGGATTTTTTTTAGAGAATATCTTGTTCTCGGGAAAAATAGAAGACAACAGAAGTGGAGGAAGACCAAGTATAACTTTTTCAGAGAATTTGAAAAGGTAGATGATATGAATAGATCAGGGTAATATAATTTCGAGAACATCTGAGCAGAGAAGTAAGTGGGAAAATGTAATCATTGTTGTGAAAAAGAAAAAGACTTGATTTTAGCATTATGATTTAAATCTATTATCCTCCACTCATTGTTTCGAACAAGGGAGTAAAGATACAAACCAACAAGCATTATTTTTCTTACGTTTGTGTGTCCACTCTCTGTATCTCCTCACTGATTCAAATTAACAAGCAAATAAACAAGCAAACATTATTTTTCTGACTTTTGTGTGTCTGTTTTCGGAAACCCTTCACCAGTTCAAATGATAATAGTAGATATCATCTTAGATAGCATTTGTATAGCGCGAAGTCCCTATTAACAGCAAGCTCTATGTGCTTTACAGTCTATACTGTTACCCCTGCAGACCTGATGGCATTCTGAAACAGTCTCTTCTTCCTGGGAAGCCCACTGTGCAAGCTGCCATTTATAGGTGCTAAAACACTATCCTGCTGACAAGATCTTTCGCTGTCTATACCTGGATATCTATTCCCACTTGGGCGAAGTGAGGAAAATTTGTGTAAAATGACTTTCTCAAGGACACAAAGTTGGACCCGCGCCTCGATCCCTCGAATCCACAACCTCACGATTACAAGTCCCGTAGCCTAACCACTAGACAAACAAACAAACAAACAAAAAAAGCAAACAAATATTATTTTTTTCGACATTTGTGTCTCCCTTCTCTATATCTCCTCACCACTTCAAACAAACAAATAAACAAACCAATAAACATTGTTTTTCTGACATTTATGTGTCCATTCTCTGTATCTTTCAGGAAGGTGATGGTCAACGAAGGTCCCAAAGCTTTCCTGAAGGGTGCCCTATGTCGTATACTGGTCATTGCACCTCTCTTCGGCATCGCTCAAACTGTGTACTACCTGGGGGTGGCTGAATTCCTGCTGGGTGTGAAGAATGCCTGAATCGGTGCACCAGGTCACAACTAACAGAGTTGTCTCTCCTGTCTCGTTCAGGGATTTTGGGTTTTTTTCCATCTCAGCTCATCGCGTAGTGGCCAATAGTTTCTTTTTACTGTACCTCAAAGATAATAAATTTTTAAAAGTCATGTACGGTAGCAATATTGTGTTTGTCAAGACAGCATAGTTGAAGGACATGTTTTTCTTTTGATCAACTTGTTTCTTGTTGCTTAATGAATGTAAAGAAATAGTCTAGCAGATGTGTCTCTTTTGATCAAATTATTTGTTGTTATTTGATAGTAAGATGTAAAGGAGCTGTTTTGTTTTGCTATGAAAATGGGGAGAATAGTCTAAATAACTTCCATCCTCAGTGAACATGCAGGGTGCTTGACAATGATATAGATCTGAATAGGGCTTTAATGTACCGGAAGGAGGTGTCAAAGAAAACAGAGATTCGTGGAACATTTTTTGTATTACCAGATTTATGAACATGCAGAAAGAAGACAATTAAGGCTTTAGTTTTTCCTTCAGAATGATATTTATGATGTGTTTAGCAATTTTCCTTTCAACAAAATGTGCAAAAATGAATCAAAAAATGTCTTTGGCTTATTTCACAGGATATGTAAAATATGACTTGAGATAGAATTTGTAACATGAGATCTGGAATGCTTTACCAAGTACTTTAAGAGAGATCAAATCTTTCGATTCATTCAAGTGTCAGCTGAAGTCGTTTCTGTTTTTAAGTTAATAAGATGATTATTTTGAGTGATTTTCTCTTTGTCAGAACACAACGTTTTATGTTACTGTACGTTGTACTGTATTGTAAAGCGCTCAGAGCCTGTGTACTTTAATCAGGGTTTAGCGCTATATAAATGTAATTTATTATTATTATTACATGTAACAAAAGGACACACGTAACACACATGTTTGTGGCAAGATGCAGATAGTTTGTTGATTGAGAGTACAGTATGAGAAGCAGATGGAGAGATTGCATTACGCTGTTCACAGAGTTTGTTTTTCATCGTACTTCTTTACAAAATCATCAAGAATATGTTGTCAACCTGATTTTCTTAGGGTTAAAAAAAATATTTTTTTTTAAAGAATTGCTTCTGTTGGTGTTACAATTTGTGTTACCATTTCAAAAGAAATGGAATCATTTTCTTTCTTTCAATCAAACCAAAGAAGGTCTGAGATGTTGTCTCTGGCATGAGAACCATGTGATAAGTTTGGACGTTTTGTGTTGTGAGATGTTGTAGTCATGTGTCTGGATTTTTTGGGGGGATTTTTTTGGGTGGAATAGTCTTGTACAGTATTGTAGTGACTTGTGCAGACATTCTGACAAAGCTGTGCTGTATCAAATATATTCAGAGATTCAATTGTAACTCATATGAGTGGATGTTTGGTGGGTGTTTTGGTGTGGTTTTGCTCTTTCTTTTCTATTCAACATCTACTGTCCTTATCTCTCCTTTTTTTTTCTATGTTACTTTTTAGTAACACCTCTATTCGGCATTTATGATATGACCTATTTGTGTTTCAAGTGCCATGAAGCTCTTAATAAAACTAAAACTCATATATGAGCTGTTTACTTGCATGATTTTAGACTAGCTTGAAGCTTGGAGAAGGAAAAATTTGTTTTATTCGTAACATGAGATTTTTTTGTTGCCCTGTATTTCTTAAAATATTTCAGGATTTCGTATAAAGAATGCAATTTTGGTGTTGATTTGTAAAGTTCTTGTAGGTTGATGTGAAGAATGTACATTTTTTTTTTGGTCTGACAAGAGATATACAGATTGGGCTACTACTTCTGTTTTGTGAAATTTGGAACTTTTACACAAGTGCGTATTGTAAAGTTTGGGCTATTGATCACACCTGTATATAAACCACATCCTATACTTTTTGTTAAAAATCTGAACTTTTAAAGCAAATAGACCGCACTGGTTTATGAGCCGCAGCAGATTATGCAACACAGATCTGTACGCCAAAAGATCACTAAAATACTGGTAAATGACTTGCAGTAATCCAGCCTACAAATACCTCATTTTCAGACCGTGACACCCCCCACACATTTCAGTGTTAGTTTGTAGATTTCATCCCGTGACTGTCTAGACGTCTCCTTGTGAGTCTCGAAAAGTACTCACCCGTTTGTTGGACCTTGTTTCTTAGGTGTACTCTAAAGTGTGGTGTTGAGGAAAAGACTTCAACTTTTTAATGTTTTAGGTGTGTGCAAAGAAAAGACGAGAGAATGACACTCCTGCATTCGTGAAAATCTGCAAATGATCTGCATTGTTGTTTAAGTGCAGGGTTTATAGCTGAGGAAAAAAGTCGCAACTGCAGGGTTTTTTATAGCCCAAGTTTTACGGTACTTTGGTGCTTGCTGTCAGGAAAGTGGAAGTTAGTCAGGATGTAGTACTTGGCCTACTTCTCTGTGGGGTGTGCTGCAGAAAGTTTTCCCTTGTGTTGGTCCCTATTGATTCTGGGGGTTTGGGGTTTTTTTTTCAATAGCAGGATTTTCGATGTAATTTTTTTTGTCAACAAGTTATTTTTTAAAATTGAGATTGCATGTTTACATAACATACTGGTGTACACTTTTTCATATCGGCTTTGTGATAACAGTATAGTTTTAATGCTGTTTTAATGCTATTTTAACCATTTCGACTCTGTCTTATTTCTTTGTATTGATTTTATGGAGATATTTGTCCCAAATGGTGTAGGGATTTTTTAGCACTAAACCAAAATGTTTCATGTCAATGTATCTTTTGGGTTTTTTTATGTATGGCTGATTGAGAAAATGTTTGGTTTATGAGAAACATGGTGCATGAAGACAGGGCTAAACTATTTGTGTACCTTCTTACTCAAGAGTTGAGACTCTTGTTATGTGGAACTGAACAGTTTCACGACAAAACAAGACATACCCAGGTTGCCTGTTTGACAAAACGAAGGTTTCTATTCTTCACCCATTTTCAGAATAATCTTAAGCAATTTCAGTTTAAGAGTAAACATGATGTAAAGCTTAGTTGATTTTTGTTTGTAAAACGAAATTTATGTTGGATTCCTATCCTTAAAAAAAAGTGTGTTTTTTTCACACCAAATCTTTATGTTCCAAAAATTCTGGGTTTTTTTCTTTGATGCTCCATGTAGGAGCCTTGTGACAAGCCTTAGTATTAGTCCTGTATTCAGTATTGTCTATCAAAGCATTTGTCTGTGTTATGGAAGCTTGTCTGTACTGTATTATTGGAGCTGGTTAGATAATCATTAGCTGTGCAATTTTGAGATTCTGTCTAGTATATAGGCAAGCTGTTGTTCATCTTTAAAAGTCGTTTTTTTTCTTCATAGCCTTGAGGTGTGAAAAGATCATTAGGTTATTAAATGACATTGCTGCAACTAAACTAGTCTGCATGAATTTTCTCGAATTAGTTTTTGCGTAGATTTATTAATTCTTAATTAAGAACAAAACAATACTAAAAATGTTTTGTCTTTAATTGATCTGACAATCTTTCCGTGAAATCAAAATCACTTTAATCACTTCTTGTGTGTGGGCATGTATGTGAGATGGATTTTTTTTTGTGTGTAGTGTTTTTATTATAGAAATATATCTACATATCTGAATGGCTCCATAGGTCATGTCTGTGATTTATAACTGTTTCTGTCTTAAGATTTGATTACCCCCTCTGAGACCTGTGAAACATTTTTCTCATAAACTGTTTATCTCATTTGAATTGTCACATTATGTATAAGTAAACAGGGGTGCTTGTTTTGTTCATATGTCTGCAGTAAAATGCTAGTAAAAACATAGAAGACAGTCGTGATATAGTTCTTCCCTCTGACTGCAGATCTGAAAGATGAGTCAGAAATGTTAAGTTTAAGAGGCGAGGGGGGAAGGGGGGGGGGGGGGGGGGGGGGA